AAAGGAAGGTGATGCTCTGAAGATTGCTAACAAAAATAACTGGCGCCAACGTACGCCACCAGGTTAGGTGAGGTCACTTACTGCTGCTGCACATCACCTAGTAACCTTCCCAGTGGTTTCTTAAAATTTCTATTTGAGATAAGTCATGTCAAAACCTTAAAGATTTTCGGATTTTGGAATTTCGGATAAAGGATACTTAACATGTGCCAACTCTAAGCACGCATAAGTAGAAGGCATTATGACAAGCATAAAGGTAAAGTTATGGATGATGTTTAACATAACCTCGCAGAACCGACATAAAAATACCGTCAGATCATACAATCGAAGAATATTTAACACATCCGTACTATACACCCTTGCTTTACAATTTTTCCTTGTTTTTATAGAATTGATTTCATGTCATTTATTTCAATGGAAGAGTTAAAACTGCCAGAAAATAATACGTTGCTGCAAGTTACTAAAGTCTTTGTATGGGGGACGATGTTGATTATAGAAAAAATAAAGTATAGAGCAGTGCTTCTCAACCGCCGTGCTGCAGCACACTAGTGGGCCGCGTGATCATTTTAATTGTCCGGGAAATACTACGACGGCTTACACTGTGGATTTGATACATATCAATCCAAAAAGAATATCACACAGTAGCCAAAAAGGCTTTATCAGTTTTATTTCAATTTTCAACTTCTTATTTAGTTGAAGTAGGCTTCATAATCCTAAATAACACCGAAAATAAGAAGCGAGAATGATTACTTTCAATTGAAGAAGAAAAGAGAGTGTGCTTAGCGCCCATTCGACCAAACATTGAAGAAAACATCAAATTTCACGAGACACAGGGTTTCACACTAAATAAACTGCACAAATAGTTGAATTTAAACACTGAAATAAAGTTCACATTGGTGTGTGTGTGTGTGTGTGTGTGTGTGTGTGTGTGTGTGTGTGTGTGTGTGTGTGTGTGTGTGTGTGTGTGTGTGTTTAAATCTGTGGTTTTATTTCATAAAATCTATACCCTTGGCGTTATATTTTCATTTCATCCTTTGTGTGCTGGTGCTTACAAAAGGTCGAGAAACACTGCTATAGAGAAATGAGGCAGACAGGTGGAAATTGAATGCTGATCACGTGTCGTAGAACAACACTATACAACAATATGCCATCGCCGATAGGATGTTTATGTCACTTGGAAGAACTAGAATTTGTCAATATTTGGATACGCTGTTTTCCAGGTCCGGTGAGGGCTAAGAAAATTGAAAGACCGCAATGCAAGTGGGTGAGAAAAAAAAATAATTATACGACCTCTTCCTAGCTTCGGAAGATGTGTACCTATAATAAAAAAAAATTAAGTTATGGCATACCTCAAGTATTTGGAGAATTTGACTTGTGCGGAAATTTGAAAAATGATCAAAAGGAAATTACGACTTGAAATGAAAGTCATCATAGAGAAACGAACCGAATTTCTGTCCATAAAACAGAAACAAGATGAATCAGTTATATAAAAACCATCACTTTGAGCCTTGTGTTTCTGAACAATTTTAATCCATCTGCCTGAACTCCTTAGTCAAAATTCGCTAATAATTGGCATGTAATATTTCAAGGTAGATATGAAAATAGTTTTTACCCACCGTTCAGCGGCTAGCTGGGCATTAAGTCATCTTTCTCTACCACTGTTCAATTGGTGGTTGGACATTACGTCATTTTTCTCTACCACCGGTAAAGCGCTTGGTCAAGGCTCAAAGGATTAAGAGAAACTAGCAGGATCTCAATTTGAACATTTTTGAACACAATATATAGAGGACGAAATGATTCAAATACAGTTTACTGAAGCTATAGCTGATATCTATCTATCTATCTATCTATATATATATATATATATCTATCTATCTATCTATCTATCTATATCTATATATATATATATATATATACATCTATCTATCTATATCTATCTATATATATATATATCTATATATATATATATATATATATATATATATATATATATATATATATATATCTATTTATATATATATATATCTATCTATTTATATATATATATATATATATATATATATATATATATATATATATATATATATATAAAACTGGCTATGTGTGTGTGTCTGTGTTCGGGAACTACTGAGAACCATATGGCATATTTACACTAAATTTAGAACATAGATTATACTCGATACGGGGTGTGACTGGGCAAAAAAAATTAGTCATTTTTCAAAAATCAATAAACGATAATCGATCAATATAATGTTTAAATGGGAATTTCCATTAGTTTTTTTTTTTTTAAACGTTCAGACTTGAAGTCTAAACCCTTAGGCAGATGTTAATGAAACTTGATAAATGTATGCACCTTACTGTCACACTTATTATACGCTATATTGATTTTCGTTTCTCTCGACACTGGGACACTCAGGGTGCCCCAAATAAACCCAAAAATTCAAATTGCTTTGATTTTGATGAAATTTTGCATGTTTGTTACGCTCTTACAATGAGATAGAAAACAGTTTTCAGATTTTTAAAAATGCATGAGGGGGCCCTCAGGATGACCCTCTAAACCCCTTGATGCCTCAATTGCTTTTCAAGTGTATTTTGTAGCAGTATTCCTCAATGTCAACGAAAATTTCATTACATATTGAGATTTGTTGAATTTCTTCTCCTTCCAATACATGTTGTTCATTCGATTTAGTTTGAGCAAAAGCTATCAACAAAGCATTTCTCCTCAACAATTTTCGAAGATCGATTGCGATTAATGTACTCTTCATTTGCTGTCAAATATTTTTTGTATCCACTGTGCTTCTGTAAAAAAAAAACAACTTTGTCCTGTTATAAATGTTTTCACACTTCATGTCATTATAATTTTTTGCCATATAAATAAAAGGCAATAAAGAAAAATCTTCTTTAATTTAATTTTACAGATTGGATGAGATTCGTGATCTTTTTTTGAATACACCCAGGCAACGCCAGGTAATGCTGCTAGTATCTCATAAAGATAAGATAACGAAACAAGTATAATTAAATAATCTGTTTCTAAATGAATATGTGGAACATATACAAGAGCAGGGGAAGTCTTTGAATTAAAAACGCCAGATAATTATTGAATGAAACTAATTCTACAATTCGGTGAAGTTAATAGTCATTTTTTTAAAATTCTTTAATTTTTTTCACCATTAGACTGATTTTGCATAGACCAATACATTTTGAAATGAAATGTGGCAGGAGACATTGTAACGAAACAGTGGATATGTTGTTCAATAACACGACTGTCGTCGATTTACTTAATAATTCGAAATAACCTTCTGGTAAGCTCAATGTCGAGGCGGAATGAGAGATGTCAGATAACATTGGATGAAAACGGTAAATATATTGTTTAATAACATGCATGTAGAAAATATACATTATAAGCCATACGAGCATTTTGGCTAGCACAATAGCTGACTGAAATTAAAGATCGTAGAAGATCGAAAACGTAAATTTGTTATTCAGTAACCTGAATGTCGAACATGTACTTAATAAAACGGATGAACTTTTGGGTTAGCCCAAAGTCTTGCTCAAATGGAAGATGGCAGAAGATAGTGGAATAAAAGAGATGTATGTTATAAAATGAATTTCATGTAGAACATTTATCTGAGAAATCATACGAACATGATTGTTTAACAGAATGTCTTGATAAAAGAAAAGATTGTGGAAGATACTGGAGGAAAACGGTAAATATGTCGTACAATACATTTAATATCGAAAATTTACTTAACGGAACGAATATTTTGTTTCCTCGGTTTTATTCAACGATAATCCGTTTAGCTTGCGTGTGCTGTGTGCATTGTTTCATTAGGAGTGAGTAAAACATAGCTTGTATGTTAACCCTACATTTCGTTTTTATCTTACGTCTCGATTTTATTTTACGAACGCATTTATTCAGTTCTTTTATATATATATAACCAGGGGCAGTAAGAAAATTTTAGTTCAGCCAACAATTCCTGATTTTTGCTTTGCCTTAAAAACTGGCTCTCCCCTTAAAAACTGACTGTAGCCTTAAAAACTGATTGTAGCCTTTAAAATGATTCTAGCCTTAAAAATAGATTCTAGCTTTAAAACTGATTCTAGCCTTAACAAAACTGATTCTACCCTTAAAAACTGATTCTACCCTTAAAAACTGATTGTAGCCTTAAAATGATTCTAGACTTAAAAACAGATTCTAGCCTTAAAACTGATTCTACCCTTAAAAACTGATTGTAGCGTTAAAAACTGATTGTAGCATAAAAACTGATTGTAGCCTTAACAAAACTTATTCTAGCCTTAAAAACTGATTGTAGCCTTAAAAACTGATTGTAGCCTTAAAAACTGATTGTAACCTTAAAAATGATTCTAGCCTTAAAAATAGATTCTATCCTTAAAACTGATTCTAGCCTTAACAAAACTGATTCTAACCTTAAAAACCGATTCTAGTCCACTTTCTTTCTAGTTGCCTACCTTCTAAGTAATTTTTCAAATATTTTATCAGATAGTTCTTATTATTAATTAATTATTTGTTATTCTCTGTATGTAAACATATTCACCTTAACTTCATCTCATATCTTCCATCGTAATAATATCAGTTCTCCTGTTATAAATGTTCTCGAAGCTATTTAATTAAAAAAAAGAAACGTGTTAGTTGAAGCTTATTAAAATGACTTTCATATTGTCCGATGTTTCACCCTCAAAAACTCGACACAAGAATTCTTTACATTGATTGTTTGATTCACCCTTTACAGCTCATCAACATATTTATGGTTATTTAAAGCCAGAATATATTTTTAGATTTTAAGATTGTTTTTTTGGAGGTAATAATTTATTGGTACAAATCTTACTAATTAACCGATATGTGGTGGCGAAGAAGTGGATTCATAACCTTCTCAAGAGCATTTGGTCATAAGTGAAGATAACTAACGCAACTGGAGTTGTAACTCGGCTCTCAGATTAAAAATTGCGACTGATTATTCATGGCACCATACGCAAACCCAATCTTACATCATCCGGTATTCCCAAGCAGTCACCCATCTAAGTATTGATTAGGATCGATGCTGCTTAACTTCGCTGATCGTACGGGACCCGGTGGTGCAGCGTAAGGTGGTTTTAAGACAATTTTCAGCATTATTTCAGAATTACTTCTTCATTCGCCATGTCTCTTCTGAACGAGAAATGGCTGTACGCCGTATTTCATGTTGCAGGCTTCTGCAGTGTCATCCTGGCAATATGTAGCCGAATATTATCATGAAGCAGAATTCGTGTTGATCATTTAAAAAAGGCAGTGGGTCTAGACAAAGTTTCGTTCACTTGATTAAATAAAAAGTAAAGAATTAAAAAGAATAGGTATTGTTTTGCTCTCTTATCTTCTACCGTCGTTTTTTTCTTCTTAAGTAAATGGGCACCTCATCCAGTTCCTGACAATAAACTTCAGAAGAGTTGCTCTGATCAGATTCCAAAAGCAGTAATGGATAACGTCAATGGCACATCTCCAAACAGCTTTCATAAACTTTAATTGATGTCATTTCGCATTTTGAATGTTTTGGGCTGCTTTGTCTTGCCCACTTCATGGAGACAGCTGTTTACGGTTGTCATAAAGGATCCATCTTTCATCACGGGTCCTTATTCAATCAAGAAATGAATCGTTCTAGTTTCGCTCATGCAGTTTTAATCACAGTTCATAACGTCGAACAATTTGACTTTCATTGAACTCATAGGATCTCATTCATCGACATTGTTCACCATGCCAATGTTTTGAAATGGTTCGATATATTTGAAAAGCTAATTCTCATTATCTGAGACATTTCTTTGACGTTGATTTTCTTCGACGGGTGAATTCAAATGTTTGTTAATTGCAGACAGACATCCTCTACGGCGGTAACATGAAGATACATATATTTCTCTCTACGTCGCCGTGTTTTCAGCTATACAGGGGCGCAAAAATTTCAAAAATTAAGGTCGCCACCTATCCTGGACGAAACATTTCAAATCGAAAGCCTGACAGCATTATATCTTTTCAATCTCCGCGGGATATTTGTAGGCACATCATTCATAACACTATTTAAATTTAGATCCTGAAAGGCTTTAGGTATTGTTGTTAATTTTGGACATAGTGGAAAACTAATCGAATGGCGTATTAACTAATTTATTGAACCCGAAAAAGACACTGCACTCCATGTTTCATAGAACATTAAAATCTAAAAAGTATTTCTCAGTAGCCAAGGATCTGGCAGCTTATGTTAAGCAGTCCAAAGCATTTCATCATCAGCACCCAGTAACTTCTTCGTTGTGATTTTATACACAATCAAAAAACATTTCTGCCCGGAATCTACAACTAGGGCGTACGGCCATATCACGTTGCAACATCGGTTCTCGTACAATTACCGAATGAAGCAACGTCGAGCATTGTCAGTACCTAGATGGGGGACCACTTGAGAATAGGCGGCCCTGTAAGCTTGATGTGTGTGGGTGGTGTAATGGATAATGGCTCAGAATTGTTATCAATGAAGCGAGTTCCAATTCCATATGGGTGCGTTATATTCACTTAGGCACAAATACCCTTGGGAAAGATAAGAATTCAACAACTTTTCTCTCCGCAGCTATGAGCTAATTAGTAAGACATCTCTCACTAAACCTCAAAAAATTCTTACACTCTAAAAATATTTTCGGGCTTTAAATAACATACAAAGTGGTGACAAACCGTAAAAAATCCTCAAAACAATAATTCCTAGGATATGCACTATGAAGATTTTTATATTTGTTAGCAAATGTTCCAATATTGGGAAAGTCGTAATTTCTTCTATTTTAATTTATACATACTTATTTTAACCTTTCGTAAGGAGTACGGCCATATTACGTTGTAACACCGGTTCTCGTATGATCAAGGAAATAATCACAGTTGAGCATGGTCAATACCGTGAGTGCTGTTTATTTTGGAATATCACGTGCTCTAAGCTGAGACTTGAAGAGGGTGCAGTGGTTAAATACGCGGAATGAGAAGCCAGAGAGCTTATTTTGAATTCCAGCTGGGCAGCTCGGCGAAGTGTAATGATTATCAAGTTGGTCTTGCTAGATCAGTTACGACTGAAAAGTGAGTTCGATCCTCACTAAGTGTCCCATACTTTCGGCCTTGTGCCACATCTAAGCTACGCTTAGAAAATAACTATTCCAGTTGGACTCGTTGCATTTACTTACAAGCAAATTCCCTTGCAAAAGGTAGGAATCCACTAATTTTCGCTCAAGCTATGGGTAAAATAGTAAGTCTCGTATCGGAAAACCATTATTATTTTCCAAAATATTAATGTAGGTACCTCCACGAGATCGCTAAAAAAAGAGCATAGCATGATGAAAAAGACGTCAAACTTGACGAAAACAAAATTTTATCGTCTAAATGTTTGTTATTATTAAGAGGAAAGGTCAAAGTATTTTGGGGGTATTTTTTAATCGTTCCTAGCACGTCCGAAATTTTCGTTAAAAATCTATTTTTTTTTTGAGTCGGCAAAATTGACCATTTTTTTCCATTTAAAAAAAAAAAAAACTGGAAATCTGACTTTGAAATTTTTTAAATATCAATTATCATTTTTTCAAAACTTATTTTAAGAAAATCAGAAATTATAATGTTTATTTAAAATATTTTGAACCAAACTTAACTTAGCTTTTGTGCCAAAAAGATGTAATTTGAAAATAAATCAAAGCAGGTCATAAACTTTCGCGTCTCTTGACATGTGATGAATGATATATTTACGAATTCCATGAGGCTAATTTGTTTTACGGAAGGAGAAAAGTGAAATAATTTACATTTACGTGAACAAATTATTTACCTCGTTATTTTTAACGAAAACTTTCAGCGGTCTAATTTTTTTTTTGTACTTAGCTTTCACCTTTACGTTTATGATGCTTTATGGGAAATATATTGTAAAGAAATTAAAATAAAACTGTTAAGAGTGACATTAAATTTCATATTTTTTAAGAAAGGTATCTAATTAATTTATAGATACCTTTCTTATGAAATTTTATCAGAATTGTACATAAAATACTATAATTTTATGTACATTTATTACATTTTACTGTTATATGTATTTGCATTCATTTTATTATTAATTTTGATATTTCATTTATGGAAAAATGTCGTAACTGACATTAATATAAAAATAAGATCATATAAATTTCATAAGATGATACTGATACTTGTAGGTACCCTTCTCAGTTGAAATTGAAAAATCAAATTAACTTCTCCACACGTGTTTCGCAAAAGTAAAGGCCTTAACAGCGGAGAACAATGCTTAACTCAAATAACGCAACTTAATTATATTCTGGTTGGTCTTCCGTACTTTATAATTACAGCTCGGTTATAAGCACAAAATTACATTTCTTAATTACTGTGGATCTTCTGATTAGTCAAAATGATACAATTTACAACGCACTAAAAAAAGATCTATCTCATAAGGACACTTATGAAAGCCGATGCGGCTTTTGACTAATTTTATAAGATTTTAACAACTTAAATGTAAAATCTATTATAATTAATGAAATAACAAATAATTGTATTAAAAATTCATTTTTCATCGAAAAAATTTTTTTCCTTTCAGAAAATATTGTCTATATTCATAAAAACAACTAAAAGCAAATAAAAGCATTTGAAATTAAATAATATCTTTGTTTTATTGAGTTTTGTATGTTACAATTCAGAGCTGATTTTCAGGTACTGCAGATCCAATTAAAAACAAAAAAAAAATGATTTGCATTCCTCAAAGCCCTGTGCTTTTAATTATTGTAATCACTAAAACCGATGCGATCAAATTTCTAGCGTTTTCATAAAATTAGTTATGGGGGGTAATAAATATTTTAAAAAATATTTCTACCATGACTTTCATAAAAAAACATATTTATAATAATTTCGATCATCTGTGAATAGTACCTGAAAGTTTCATTAACATCCGATAATTATTTCTATTTTTGCACGATTTTTCAAATTAATGTGTGTCATACAAAAAAACGTGCTAATAATTGTCTATGTTATTTACTAGTTCAGCTGATACAAATAGAAACAAGGTTTTTTTAATCAAAATTTAGAATTTTCTAAAAAGAAGGAAAATTTTTTAAAAAATAATTAAAAAAAAACTTTGGTCTTTCCTCTTAATAATAAGCATTTGGACAATAAAATTTTGTTTTCGGCAAGGTTGGCGTCTTTCTCATCAAGCTATGCTCTTTTTTTAGCGATTTCGTGGAGGTACCTATATTAATGCAATATTCGCATGAAGAAAAAAGATAGAATTATTCTTGCAATGCAATAAAAAACTGTTTTGTCGATAGAAAAAAAAGAAGAAAAATTACTAAGAACTCATTTTGAATGTTATCTTTTATTATTCTTATAAAACCTACTTTTTGCTTATCGTCCAGCTTGCCTTTTTTCTTTATTCAAAAAAAATTATTTGTGGAGTGTGCAAAACAATTGCTTGTTTATAACATAAAGGAGCAGATTTTAATATAAATATATATCCTTTTAAAGAAATTGCATTATAAAACTGAATATGGCTTCTGGTTATCACAATTAGCTAAAAATATGCAACTGAGCAAAATATAACAAACATATTGGTAGATAGTAATAATAAAAACGGTATTATTTGATGCCACAGTTAAAAGTGATATTCCTCTGCACGGGCGAACGCAAAGTTTCTCTGGCACACACACAAGAACAGATAAACAGTTTTAGATATTTAATATTCAGTGTTTTGTGCGGAGAAAAACACGCAATATCCTATTATTTTTCACAGATTGAAATCCATGGGAAAAGAAGTTTTCAATTTTATTATCCAATTCGGCCTAACGTACTTATCTTCATTTCTATTGTTAAACTGTTTCAGCTGTCGTGCTCGCCAGATGTCATCATCATTCATCGTTTTACGGCTTATCAACACATTGCAGGTTATTTAAAACCAGAAGACATTTACAGATTGTAAGATTTTTTTTTTTGGTTGAAATTATAATCATTTAAAGATACTAGTATTACTATTTAGACTTATAGTTAAAGAGGGGGGAGAGGTCGATTCATATCTTTCCCATGCGTATTTGCGCTTAAGTGATTGTGAACCAAATGTAA